CGATTCGGTTTTGGGTTTTACGAACCCACCCCTAATTGAAATATTAAAATAATTTGTCCTTTGTCTCTTAAAAAGTTTGTGAGTTTATCTTTTTCGTAAAAATTGAATGGTTTGTAATAATTAGGTTTCTAGTGATATAAAAATGAGTCCGGTGATCCTACACCGATATATGATCAAATTTCAACCACATGTTACATTGATTGAACATATATACACAACATTTAAATCAAAAAGTGATGCATCCAGTAACGTTGAAGATTTTATGTTCCATTAAAGTTGTAGTCATTTAAGGTAACTTTCTTTGATATAATATGAGTGATCGGGCTGAACTTGCAAGTATACAAGTGCCGATATAGTAATAAAATACCGGTAAATACCGGGTCGATCCACAGGGAAATAGTTGTTATTATAAAGTCGAATATTGAATGCAAAGAATGTAAATGATATATTTTTTTTCAGGAACTTTGCTCTTTGAGATTGGTTTAAACAAGAATGAGAATTACTAAGGCAATCGGGATTCACCTAAATGCTTTAATAGATGTTTAATAATAGTTCTTCCCCAATAATTATGAATACGATGTCGCTAATATATTCTCAACTCCGGTTAAGGCAGCGAGAGCGTGGTTTTCGTTACGTGTAAGTCCCGTTACGGCTTACATTCATCTACCGAAAACCCCGTTGAATATCAAGACATCACACCCGTATCATATAAGACCGGATATATTTCTATTCTCGGTACTATATATGTTTATCCTTTAATGTTCATAGTTTAGACTTCAACGTTAATTGCAAGCATAAACTAAGTTTAACATACTTCTATGTTGTACACCATAGTCATAAACAATCAAAATATAAAGGATAAATCACAATTTATTGGTTTAGAACTTTTATCAAACACCTAGTGTGCATAGAGGTTCATCCCTAGCCTTAGCTAAGAAATTAGCCTCTAATGCTCATATTAATCACAATACAATATGAAATGTTATGGAACATGAAATTACAAAGGAAATAATACCTAAACACCAATGGTTTCGGAGGTTGAAGTTTCCTCCTCAAGAACTTGAAGAAAATACCAAGAAAAAAAATATAAAAGCTAAGAATTAATCTATGGAATGGAATGAATTTGCTTGATGAATTGAAGGCTTTATATAGGCTAAAGAATGACATCTTTTAGTCTATTTGAGCCCAACAATCAGGTATGGAGCAATATTTGATCAAGAGATGAGGAAGGTGAAGTTTTCCCATCAAATATCCTCTTGCACGACCTTTTGTTTGAGCTGAAATCGTCCCAACCGGCCCCGGTCAGTCTAGAACCGGCCCCGGTCGCAAACAGGCTCGTTTAGTGCGAAAAAGCCTTCCAACCGGCGCCGGTTATAGGCTGACCGGCGCCGGTTGCAGCGCCCAAAAATGCACTTTCTTTCTCTTCTTCCGAAATTGATCAAAAAGTGTCGGTTTTTGTCCCGGGATTTTGGGGATGTTCCGCTACGAATTTGGACATGATTCCTTCACCAAAGTTGTAGATAATGAAGTCTTCTATCCACCAAAACTTGAATGACGTGATTTTATTCATCCAATCAAACGTTATGGCTAAAACACTGAGAGGTATGCATCCTGAAATCCCACCAGCAACATCTGACTTTGTTGGTTGATTGAGTCTTGTTCCTTTCATATTTTGGCCATGACGTCTTCATAACATTTGTTCCTTATTGAGTTAGCATTCACATGAAACTCGAATCGAGTGATTTTGAGTTCTATAGAATACGTTATACTCAAATTATGGGCAGAACGTCATTCTCTTGGTCTAAAAAGTCATTCATCGCAATGTTTTATGCTCTAACTCTCATTCTGAAGGTATTTGTCCGATTTCTCTTCCTTTCTTCAACAAATACTTATAAATACTTATGTTAAACACAAGTAAATATAACGGCTATCAATGAGGTCATGCATATAGTCTTATGAAATAATCTTACACATAAATATGATCAAATTATTTCTATCACATCTCACATTCACTCAACCAGTTTAGTAGTTGAAAATGAATCGGAAATAGTAAAAAACTCACAAGATATGCAGTCTGTTGGGTTAATGGTCCAACCAGGAGTCGGCCCATCACCTCCTTAGTAGAGAACGATCGAGGCCCAACTAGATAAGGACCCAAGACGCTCGTCCTCTGGCTCCATAGCCTGATAGAGGACGACCTGCCTTTGGGCCTTAGCCATTCAGGCCACCAGGAGCATCCCAGCATCCGCAACCGGGGGGCAAGCAGAGGACGCTCGGAGTCAAGCCCTTGCCCCAGGAAAGCATTGGACCCAGCATGTTGACGACGCTCGTCCACAAATCTTGGCGGGAAACCAAGATATTGGCGGGAGGCGCATTTAATGCAGAAGTTTTGGTGGTTGGGATCCTAGTCATCCACAGCCCTCCACGTCAGCACATCTACCTACCCTAGGTAGTATAAATAGTAACATTTATTTCATTATAAGGGTTGACAACTTATTCTCTCTAGCATTCTAGCTTTATTCTCCGCTCTTACTTAGCGATATAGATGAACGGCCTCAGGCCAGGTAGCAATAGTGTGTTGTATACAAACCCTTATTATCCATTAATAAAATACGACCCACTGCTACAGAGATATAAATCCATTTTTACTTGCTTGCACTTCATATTTTCATATGCTCTCCACTCGAAATCCTTGCGTTACGTGTGGGCCCCCGGATCGAAGGAATAAACCTCAACAAAGTCTACACTCTAAATGTCAAAATTTTAATCAAAAGTAGAAAACAGAAACGAAAAAAATAAGAATGACCTAATAATCATATCATGAGATTAAAAGTAAGTCGTTTTAGGGTACACTTGAAATACTTTGGTGTTAATGTTACGTTGAATATTGTAGGGGAAAAAGTGCAAATAGACCCATGTACTAATAAAAAAATGTCAAATAAGTCCTTATTTAGGAGGCTTTGTCTGGCCATCGCCATTTGGGGTGGTTCCCGGTGGAATTTTTTGATGAAATTTTTTGAGCATCTTATTCATTACGTCTAGTTTACTCATACCAAATTTCAGCTAAAACTTTAGTCGGGAAGGCATTCAAATGAATTCTTGAAAATAACTGCGCAGTTAGAAGCGCAATTATCTTCAAGAATTCATTTGAATGCCTTCCCGATTGAAGTTTTTGCTGAAATTTGGTATGAGTAAACTAGACTTGATAAATAAGATGCTCAAAAAATTCCACCGGGAACCACCCCAAATGACGACGGCCGAACAGAACCTCCTAAATAAGAGTTTATTTGACTTTTTTTGGTTAGTACATGAGCCTATTTGCACCTTTTCCCAATATTGTAGTGAATATTTGCTTTTACAAGTTTTTTTAGTATTTTTATCTACTACCTACTTCTCAAACACTGTTCACACAATGCTTCGCTTTTCTACTACTCCCCCCTTGGATTTCTTCATTACAACTTCTTGTTTATATTTTTGAAAATAATATAAATGATAACTTAATCATCAGATATTAAAAGTATGATACATTTTTAATATTACAGTTACCATCAATGACATCATTATATTATTATACTTCATCTGTTCCCAGGCACGGACCGGGCTTTTTTGGGGAATGTTTAGGCCCGGAACCGGCCCGGTTATCCACCGGGTTCGGGCCGGTTTTCCACCAGTTCTGGGTCGGTCCGGTTCAATTTTTTTTGCTTTTCTAATTAAGCCCCAACCCCACACCTCACCCCCCCCACCCCCAACCCCCCCCCAAACACCCAACCCAACCCAAACAGAAAATGTGGGCCGATTCCTATTTTGGCTAACCCAAGCCCGCCCTATGTAACCCCCGGGCCAGGCCTACCCGGACCGATCTTTGGCCGTGCTGCCGGGCCAGTTCCAAATAGTGTCGGGTCAGGCCTGGAACCGGTCCATGACTATCTGTCCCTTATTACTTGCAATATTCCATTTTCACGCTTCCCTACACAAACTTTGACCGTCATAATATTTGATTTTTGATTAGTAAAAAATTAAAAAAAAAAGAGACTAAATAAACTTTAATTAAACAAATCTAACAATATTTTTCAAATAATAATAATTTTCATACATTAACAAATAAAATAAAATGTAATCAAAGTAGAGCTTGTGTATAGTATAAAGTTTTCCATGTTGCAAACTTGCAACTAAAAAATGGAGAATAGTACATCCTTAAAAATTACTTCTCAAAATATAATCAATTAACTTTATTTAATTATTATATAAATAATTGTGTCATTTTTCAATTAGAATTCAATCAAGGGTCAAGTAGCCAATAGAGTCAAGAATTCTAAATTACTTGGTGATTACTCGATCATGTATTAATTAAATTTCAATATATTCATGCCCGGAACTATAGTATTATGTTAGTCTTATAATTTTAAGATATGAATAAAATAATAATCTAATACTCCTTAATGAAGTAGAAAAAGTAGTAACATTCTAAGTTTCTAAGAATATCAATCATCATCAATCATCAAGATTAGTCCCAAAAAATACCAACTCATCATTTATAAGTTCCATAATATGACACTAATTAAAATGCTCACACAAGGCTTCACTAATACATGAAAACAATGTTTGGTCTAGGACCTCTTCTAATCTCTGACCTGAAACCAGCCTCAAGATGTTTTCTCAAATCATATCTATTTCACAATTGTGCATTTGTGCAAGTGTAATGGTCCAATCTAGTTTAGTAATAAAACATGTGTATGTGAAAACATCCTACCATAACCAACTTAAACAAAAACTTAAAGGGGAGCAGTTCAAGTGAAACCATGATAAAAGATCACCTAAAATTTCATCCCCACCAAACCTGGTTTTCGATCATATACTTTGTATGCTTGGTTTGGTGAGTATCTATTGAATTAGTTACGAAATGGAAGATTATGATCTTAATCATGTAAACAAAATGATGCCTTCTTAGGCTTATCAATTAATATATGATTTTCAAGAATCATATGAAAGAACCATGTGATGTGACATGGGATTATTGACATCAAAGTTTCACAAAACATTTCATAAGTGGTAGCACTATGTGTCCAAGAAATGTCATTATCCATCAGAAAAATAGAAGATAAGAGTTGCCCAAAAAGAAGAAAAGAACGTATCCAGGCCCTAAATAAGCTAAAGGCAGTTTTGACAAAGGCAGGTAATGAAATATGTACAACAAGGACACCAACTACCATGAACATATCAAGCGTCAAGACATTACCAATAATACAAAATTTACCTGATTGTCACAAATTTGTTAGTACCATGCTTAGCCCAGTGAGACCTAAGATCAATAGGGTCAGTAAAATTATAGCCTTCCGAAGCAAGTTTCTCTAAGACCTTCTTGAAGGCACCTTGACTCATCTTCCGTCCAGCAATCCTGGCTCCGCGCCTTTTGTCACTCGTGGGCAACGGATACATTGATATAGTCGTGGTACAGCACGCCGACTGCCAGCCGCCACATCCCCAACGGTAGCATTGCTGCAGGGTTCCAGTACAAGAACAAACTGGTGTAGGGATTTTACTTATGTCCATATCAATCCCTCCTATCACAACATCAACACTCTTCTTTGCGGGTTTTTCCTGTTGACACAAGGTTTTGTCATTCTTTGCTTTCTTTGACTTTTTCGATTTAAGTCCCGATGATGCAACAACTGCTCTCTTTTTGGAACGAGGGCTTTCTTCATTAACACTTGGATGAAGATGATCCTCAACCATAACGGGTTCTTCCTTGACTGAAGCAGTTTGTAGCAATTCAACTGAAGTCTGAGTTGTTCCAGAAGGGTCATTATATGGGTGACCGGTAAACATATGCAAGAATTTGTCTCTGTGGTTGATCCAACCCTCTCTAATGTAATCTATGTGTGTTATAGGAATCTGAGACACAATGGAGTCCAGGGGATGATAAAGCCCATTACTAACTATCATACTGGAATTACTATTGCGGCCAGGAAGGAAAGGTTTCGTGTCTACATCAAATGGAGATGACAAGAGCTGGAGACCAAGATGCCCCTTATGTGAAGGTTCATAGTAACCCCAATTCCTCAAGTTTAACCCATCATCATCCATCTAGAGCTACATCAGATCAAGCAAATCAGATCCCTATAATTTAACCAAACGACCAAGCATTATATTGCACAAAAAAAAAAATTAAAAAAACGAACTTGACAAAAACTATTCTTGAATTCAGACCCTAGATTACTTTTTATCAATATATTTAATCTTTACCAGGCCAACCTCAAGCTCTTTTGGGAATAAGACTTGGAGGTTGGTGTTGTACTTAACTTCTACCCGAAATCAGCAATTAAAATAAAGACAAGACTTTTGATCAAATCCGACAGGGATTAAGAACCACGCAGATCATCAACAAGAACGATCCAAAAAAAAAATTGTCTTGAATGGATAATTAATAAATTAAATACTGGAACAATATTTAACAAAATTCGAAAGAACCATATACTTGGTACCAGTTATGATAAGGAAGAAAGGTCGGGGGAAATGGATGTTTGGGAAGCATAGAGACAGAGAAAACGTCCTAAAACAGAAGAGACCTTACTTGGGGGGAACAGATCTCTTTAGGTTTCTTTTGTCGTCCGCGGAAGAGAGAGGAGAGAGAAGCCGTAGGAGGCTAGGATAGAGATCGACCCATTTCAATCCTATCTGCTCAACAATGTCACACTCATCACTAACAATTGGGATACACGCGTATAGGATGCTTGCACGAACGTAGGACCAGATTTGAAAAGAGAAAAAAAAAAAATTAACCTTTTTCTCAAAATAGGATTATGTTTTTTCCTAAATATAAGACTTATCCTACCCATTTTACCCCTAATTCTATTTAATTAATTAATCTAAATAATTGTCTCCTTAGTTTCCTTACACAACCAAGGCAGTACGTCGGTGGCGGGACAGTCCGTGGTGGAGGTAGCACTCCGGCAGTGGTCGGCGGCAGATTCCGGCGGCGGCAACTCCGGCAATTAATTAACCCAATTAATTGCCCCCCTAGTTCTCTTGTACAACCAAGGTAGTCCGTTGGTAGTGGGGCAATCCAGTGGTGGCGGCATTTCGGCGGCAGCGTCGGCGAACTCCGGCGGCAGTGGGCGGAGGCTCCGGTGGCATAATTCTGGCAGGCTGCCGGAAAAAAATTCTGGAATTTTCCGGCGGCCGGAGGTCCGGCGGCAAGCGGCGGTCCGGCAGTCCCTGGGCAGCAGTGGTAAAGGCTGTGAGGGGTAATTTGGTCCAATCACTAATAAAAAAATCCTATTTAAGGATGTTTAAACTAGGTGCTCCTATTTTGGGGGAAAAAAGCCAAGTTTTGGTCCTATTAAAGTAAATCTCTCATTTGAAAACCCCAAAACCGAAAATCAAATTAAGAGGCCATTTGACAACACTGTTTTTCAACTTATCAGCAACTTTTTCACCAAACACGTAACTTTACCTTTCACGCGCTGAATTTTGTAATAAACATAAAAAGTAAAGTTGAAGTTACTTTTCTGACTGTATTGGCTGAAGTTACTGTAGATGATAATATTACCTAGTTTTACATATAATTTTTTCTTTATTTCATTACTAAAATATATTGTGATATTTTTTCCTTAAATCAGCAGAATCAACCAATGCAGCCATAACTTCATAAATTTCAGCAGAATCAACCAAATCAGCCGATTTTCGTGCTACCAAACATGCTCTAAATCAAACTGAATCATAAATAAATAAAACTGAATCGCTAATAAACCGAAACTAAATGTAAAAAAAACTGAATTGAACAACAATTGTTTAATTTGGTTTTGAACTTTACCCTTTAAAACCGAGCCGAATAAATTGAACTATAAAAACATGTTAATTGTTAAGCATTATTCCTAATATCATCAATAGTCTTTGATTTTCTTGTATAAGATAATTAATTTTCGTGTTATGTTTAATTTAGTTTAGTTTATAAATGCATTTACTCATGCATGACATGTAATAATGTAATTAGATTGATATATTATGTCTTTTATGTATCTCTTGTAATTTATTGCATGATGATGATATATGTTCTTATGGGTTATAACTAATAATTAACTTTAATTTAACTTTATTTAAAAAAAATTATATTGAAAGAAGAAATAAATATTTGTTTTTTATTTTTTACTCCAGGGGGCTCTGGGGAGGGGGCTGGAGGGGGGGGCATGGAGTAATTAGGACTGAAACTTACTCCATTGAGTTTTGAACTCTTATGTGCGTAGTGGTTTCGAACTCGAGACCTCCCACTAGGCACAGTAACCTCACAACCAGCAGGGCTGGAATGCTTGGTTAACAAATAAATATTCATCTCAACTATATCATGTATGATGTATATAATCTTTAACTTTTTTCAACTAGTCACAAACAATGTAAATTAAGAATATATTCACTTTTATCTCTCTTGCATAGTTATATAATTTAAAACATATTTATTTCGTTGCATTTTTTATTTTATTTATTATAGAATGTTTACATTTTATTGTAACATGTTTGATCCCTTAACCTATTATATCATTTTAAATCAAATGATAACTTTTTAGTAAAAAAAAAATCAATGATAGAGTATATGGGGCCAAACCCTATGATCAACATACTCAAAAGGCTAATACAAAGACAATTAGCGCTTGGATGGTCCCATCGTCTAGACACAGCGATCCACACAAAGCAACCCAGAGTGCAAGGAACAGAAGACCGGCGTCTCCCGTACTTTGATACCCATCTGTCAGGCCCTCCATCGGTCAGGTCCTCCCTCTGTTTCACCGATAACTTGTATTTTTACTTAAGCTTCATGAATACATATAATCAGTCCTTTAGAGACTTTATCTTGTACCGGGCCTCCCTATCATAATATAATTGTTACTAGTATTAGCTATGTTGCATAGATACATAAAAATTAGGCGGAAACGGGAAACGAGAAACGTCATATTTTAGTAAATATACAACTATTTGGAGAGTTTTTGAAGAATTATCATAGAGTTTCCGAAACGGAAACATACTCGTTCATCAGAGTTTCTGTGCTATATAGAGTATTAGTTGAGTCAAGTTTCAAATTCACTGGTCGAGCGATTGTTATACTTTGAAGTTTGAACTTTGATTGAGACATAGTTATACACACCTAAACTTTTGATTTGACATATAATGGTTAAAGATGTTTTTACTTGGACTGTAATCTGTCCCAGAGCAGATCAGAGCAGACCAGATCAGACCAGACTTGGGTACTTACAAAAATACAAAGAAACCAGACCAGACCAGACCATACTAGATCAAACCAGACCAGACCAGCAAATTACAGTCCAAGTCAGTAAAGTTGTGAGTCTCCTTTTAAAAAATAAGATAATAATTAATATTTATCTTATTTTATAAAATCCGATGATTACAGTGTGATTCACATGTTTCGTTTTTAAATTCCTATATCGATTCAATAAAAAAAATAGGATTTGAACAACCTTTCAGATCGAAGTGACGAGATTGCCTTCATTGGTGTCACCGTTGCTATGAAACATGTATTATGGTCGTTGAAAAACGTTTTCGATTACTTTTTCTGATGAAAATTCTGAAGAAAATTGATTTTTTTCTGTTAATCACTATTAGTCTTATTTTTGTCTTTAAAAATTGTAAAAGTACTACGGAGTATTATTTTGTAATTTTCCTAGAATTTAAAGGTTTTAACTTCATTTTTTTAAAACAAAATTCTATTAAAGTGAAAGGGAAAGTACATGAGGAAAGAGAAGTGGGTATAAGATGAGTACAAAGTGGTGTGTACAACAAGCATGGTTGGAGAAAGAAAAGTAGCTAAAAGTGAGAAAAAACAACAAAAATGATGTTTGTATCCACTCTTATACCTACTTTTGTACCCATCTATATTTGTGAAGTGTTTTATTTTTGTCTATGAATTCCGGTGAATCGGGTTCACAGACAAAAAAAACCACTTCACAAACATGGTGAGTATAAGGTGGGTATAAGAATGGGTACATCAAGAATTGTTGAAAAAACAAAACAAACATGCAAAATCAAACTCAACCCACAGTATAACAAGAACCATCCCTAGGATCCGTCCCTAAGAGCTTAATCAAGTTTTCCAAATTTCACTCGTGCTTGAGATCTAGTCCGCATGTGATGTGAACGTTGATGCTTTTTCGTGTAAAGTTTGATTTGAGTGTTCAAATTATGTGTAGGTAAGCAGTTTTCCATTGTGACTAGTAGAGTTTTGTAGCAAATATCCTGATTTATGTCAGAATCCCATAGATCCTCCTCTAAAGATATAGGTTTTAACTTGATTCCTATTACTAAATTTAAAGTAAACATGGTTATAATAACATCATTATTTATCATTTACTTAACGCGATTATATTCACTCACCCAACAATGTACTTTAATTGTACTTTTTCTTTGGCCTTTTGGCCTAGATATTACTAAAATAAGATAAAATAAAAAAAAGGATCGGCTTTAATAATTCCAAAAAAGTGACCAACATCACAACTAACCCTACAATGTAAAGTGACTCCTGCCAAAGTGACTCCGGCTAAAGTGACTGTGACGCCATAGTGACTGTCTCACCGGCCACAGTGACTGCCCCACCGGACCACAGTGACTGCCCGCCCATTGCCACAGTGACACGCCGCTCTCCGGCCACAATGACTGCCATCTTCGGTGTCCCCAGCCCCATCCTCCCCTGCTCCTCACATCCCCATGAGCCTCATCCCCGGCCTACCCCGCGTTAGTGCCGCTGCTGACCATCACTGCGGACCGTCGTCGCCCACCACCGCCGCAGATCCAGTCACCTCCCCAGCCCCTCCCTTCCCTAGCCACCTCACTAACCCCCTCTGATCCACCTGCCACCTCCACAGCCCCCAGCCCGACCGCTAGCTCCCCCACCCCAGATCAATTTAGCCCAAATTGCACCCAAACAGTCATATCTAACCCTGACCTGCCCCTTTACAAACGTTGCACCATATCTACACTCCGTCCTGAGCTTCCACGCATCTGAACCGGCGGCGGCGGAGCAACGAGACGAAATTGCAGCATCCTCGAAGCCCCAACCGTCGCAGATCTGGATGGTAGCTTCGAATTGATGATGAAGAAAGACGATGCAACGAGGTGGAGGCACAGGCGGCGACGCAAGGCGCAGGCGACGGTGGTCATCGCATCTGGGAGGCTCTTGCAGTCAACATGACTAAGAGGCTCCGACGAATGACACCTTGGCTCCAGCGATGCAAAGATAGCGGGGAAATAGGCTTGGTGGCAGCTGTTTGGATGAAAGGTAGAAGCGGTAGATGGTTGAGGGAGGCGGCGACGTTGTAGATTTGACGGAAGGTGGTCGGAAAGTTGCGATGAAATGCGAAGGAGCGGTGAAGACCAAAAGAGGATGAAGAAGGGATTGAAACTCAATCCCAGGTCTGGTACGTGCGAGTGTGTGACGTGAACGGATGATCTAAAAAACTGTAAGTAATAAATGGGCCATTTTTTCGTTTTCTTTTCTACATTTGGCATTCAAACTACTTCATTATTCATTTGGAAATCGTCCAAACTACTTCATCTGATTTTGTTTCTAAAAACGGTGTTGAAACCTTTAGATAGGAATCATAGGATTGGAGAAGTATATCATAACTCGCACGAGTAGTTTAGTTGGTTGAGTGGAGGAAAATTTGGATCAAGGGATTAAGGTTCGAATCCCGCAGCGATCAGGTGGTGGTTACCT